GTGTGTGTGTGTGGCGGACGGTTACGGCAGGTAGCAGAAACTTGTACTCCGTGCTACACAAGTATACGTACTTGTTTTTTCTGAACGGGCGACCTGTCCAGCAACAATCCACGACAGTGCTGTGACCGCTGCAAGAGCCCCGATGTGCAGGAACGGACCTGTTGCCTGGACAGAGACGTGAGACAGAGTAGAGAGGATGAAGGCAGGAAAGGGAGAAAGAAAGGATACAGAGGAAAGGAGACAAAGGGGAAAGAAAACAGGTACTTCAATAATCTCACAGGAAGACAGTAATTATAAGCTTCTCTTAGACTGTTGTGTTACTATATTATATGCAGTCTAAAATATATATATTTTTTCCATTTGGGAATGTTAAATATAGAAATATAATCACAAACATGGTGCAGCTGTTGCAGGTGGGACGGATTTATATAGATACCAGTGTTTGCATATCAGAATGATAACAGCCATAAACAAGTATTTGAGAACTTCCACTGAAAAGAGACGGAAATAGACACTGCAAACAGTCAACCCTGTACTAACTTATCCAGGTAAAAGTGTTCACAGCTCAATTATTGTATCAAGTGCCACACAAATCAGTGGTCAAAGTCTAGGTTGTTATGTCAAAACATTAAACTGCCTCCTCCTTGTGTAACGCTCAGTTTCTTATTCAAAATTAGTATCAGTACTGATGTCAAGTCATCAAAAGTGGCTTTAGGGTTTTTTTGTGTTTCAGTCTGCTGACCTGCAGGGAGATGGGGATGACATCCCACTCTTGCCCCCATGTTTGATTGATCGATATCACTCCAACAATGGTGGTGAGCAGAGCAGCAGTCACTCCTATCTGTGGAGACAGAGCGGGAGAGATACAAAACATCAGGGAGAGGCTGTCCCAGCTTGTGCGATAAAATACATGTACGCAAGCGGCGACACACACACACACACACACCCACACACACAACACACAACAGGAATAACCCCAAATAGCTCCCAGCACTTTCCCACTCCAAACAATGTTTTGTCCTTGTATTTGGTTTGCCGATAGCATTTTAGACCAGGTCATTTACTGCGCTTTCACAACCCGGCTGGGACAACACGATCCAAACTGTAAGTTCAGGACAAGTTCAGGCAATCAGCAATGAATGAGCACACACACACAGACACCAAGCAAACAGATAAGTATATAAACACAACCCCAAAGACACACACACAATAGAACAGAAAGAGAAAGATATATATGTAAAACTCACCCATTCCCACCACCCACATACACAAACACTAAGACAGTTGCTCAGTCTCACATTTTGCACATTACCTTATGGAGCCAGTGTAGATTCAACTGCTGCCCAAGTGCAATGTGGCAAAGTGCTAAAATCTGAAAACAGATGGAAAAACAACACACATAAAAAGAGTTCCATTTTCAAAAACAACTCTTCTGCCTCACAGATCTTAACTTTCCACATATAACACATATATTATATGTCAGGTAACACATGGAAACAGCTACTAAAATCACTACCAGGGCATTATGATGAACAACATGTTTAACATCTCCACAGTGAATGTTTGATTTAGGACTGACCATTAAAAATGCAATGTAGGTGAAGCCAGCAGCGGTGGTGGCCAGGATGGGGACAGTGCCATCACTCCACTCCCCAGAGTGGTTGTAGAGGAACCTGCATGAACAAGAGACCAAATAACAGTTCACACACAGAGCTCACCTGCATTTTATCATTACCAACGAGTGTGAATACTTGAGAATTGAGTATGCGTGAGCCTTTTTGTATTAACTGTTAAACCCTTCAAACCAAATCATGCCTTATAACGGACTAACAATTATGTGAAGAATCACCTTACATTATATTGACAGCTAACAGCTGGCAAAACGTGTTCTTTGCAGGATTTATTTCACAAATAGATTTACAGGTTAACAGGGACACAAACAAAACAAAGGCCTTTTGAGGGACTCGAACTACTGTAGACTGCCTGCAAGTCAAAGACCTTTGAAACAGCAACAGACACGCATCAAGTATTGAGCTTAATGCTTTATTGTTGCAATAAAGGGAACACTGATACAACAAAGACAGCAGCCTCTGTGACCACAGACACTATTGTTGGGCTACAGGGAGAATTCAGACCAAAGAGATTATGTGATTGTTATATTAATGGATGGGTGGCAAATTATTGACAGCTGCTTTCTGTCTTCTGGGGAGCTACAGAATGGGAAAGAGCAGCAAAGATAACAAGCTGGTACATTTGTTTTCCTTTTTTTGCAAACAGATGCAGCCAGACATAGTTGCTCAAAAGAGTGAAGAGTGACACTGGGTATATCAATGGGTTCACAGCTGCAGAGAAAAGAAAAGTGTATCTGTGTGCATGTGTGTTTTGACATGACTGCTAGGGCCTGTAGCACTAATTATTTTCAAAGCCTTATCAGTGATTCCAGTGGCACATAGCCACAACAGGGTCACTTAGTGCTGATGCTTCTAGCCCTCTGTGAATATATTTATACTGCAGATGGACTGGGACACTCCCTGCTGCTAAATCATTAGAACACATAAGGGCAGAGATGTCATCTCCGTGATTATCTGTGCAATCCCCCCCCCAAAAAAGCAGGAGAAAAGCAGGAAATGTATATGCTTCCTATTTAAAAAAAGTCACCAAAGCTGACCTCCAGAGATTAATAAACATTAGTGAGATTGCTGATAAAAAAAATGGACCATGATGGCTGTTTGGGGAACTGAGAGAAGGGGATGACATATATACACAGAGCAAAATATGTTGAAAAATGGGCTACTAAAAAAGGTAAAAGAGAAAAATAAATGAAGGGATAAAGAGACGGTAAAGGATATTACAGGAAAAGTACAGTGGGAAAGGACAGTGAGAAGAGGTAATGGAGGACAATAACAGAAGAAAAGGTGACATTGTAGAGGTTACTGAGAGCAGGTGAGGGGGAGGGGAACTTTGAAGAGAAAAACCATGGTACTGGACATTATGGGACATTCTGGATCCGTTTTGTAACATGCCAAACATAAATCACATGTGATTTAAAACAACACACTCGTGAGATCGTAATGTCAATTTGCTATTTTAAATGATTATTCTAATATTACTTATTTCTTACCATTATTGGGGAAATAATGTTGTTAGAGCCATCTGATCCACAGCTTGCAAGATGCTTAGGCTTAGTCCATCAATACATGTTAATGTTTTGAATGGTGTGATCATATATGTGTTAGTAATTCAGCTTGAGGACTGTATGTCAAGTAATCCATTTGGCGTTTCATCAGCTTTTTGTATAAAATCATGGGAATACTTGTGTGTTGGAGTTTGCATTAAAACAATTGAAAACAGATGAATTCTGCTTATAGGATTGGAATTAGTCTTACTTTTGATAGCTTATAATGTTTCCAGTCACATCAACTAGTGGTCACATAAAAGTGGCATGGGGCGAAGTCATTTACAGAATAGGAAATGTTGAGCGAGTCATCTCTGTTATGCAATGCTTTAATCTGTTGCGGGCTGGGTGGTCCCTGTTCAGATTAAGGCAGAGGACGGATTAAACTGATGATTTAGGGAACCAACAAGTTGACAAGCATGGATAGATTTTATTTACAGCTGAAACAATATGGTGACGGGTTTCTGCCCCCAGGTTGACAGGAGCACTCGGTTTGGTTGTGTACTCACCAGTTGAACTCATTGTAGTCGTTATGTGCCTCCCACCAGAAGTAGAACCAGACCAGCAGCAGACAGAAGGTAAAAAGGAGGATGAGGGACCACAGGCAGCTCCCACTGCACACACACACACACACACACACACACAAATAAATACAAGTCATTATTTCTGTGGATCCACTATGTTTAATTAAAACTGACAAAAGAAACGTGACTTATGTCCATTTAATGATAATAAAAGCACATTAATTGCTCCACTGTGTGACGCTTACAGCAGAGCAGCTCTGAATGCTGCCAAAACTAATGGAAAGAAAATATATAATTAATGATGAATCTCTAGCTGTTGGTAGACACAGCTATTACGGCTCAGTGCTGTGGGAATTATTTTGATATTAAATCAGCCTTCAACTCAAAGATATTCAGAGACCGGCAGAGTTAATTAGAAGTAAACTTTTCGCAAACTTAGCTACGTTGAGCACATGGTGTCAACCTGGTTTCTGACCTTTGTAGAGAGTATTCCCTTATACACATTATCACGGACTGACTTTTAATAACTTCACATGAAAGCTGACTAATTACGGTCATCCTCTGCCATGCACTTTCGTACCATGGCAAATATTAAACTGGCTACATCTTCAGATACAGAAACAGGAACACACTCCTAAGCCCTACTCAGGAGGATACGTGCACGCAGGCATGCTCATCTCAAACTTTCTCGGCTTACTTTAAAGCCATCTACACTTTTGCTGTAAGTCAGACGGGAACCTTTTGACATTTATCGTCAGCGCAGAAACTTGCTCAGAAAACTCAGCAGATAACCCCTAGGTAACACACATATACAGTGTTGATAGAATGAAGTAACTAGGTTAAAGAGTAGAAGGACTTTATTGTGATACCAGTGAACACATTAAGTGACAGGGTGTGGCAAACCCACACATACACAGTTTGATCACATTCTAAGATAAAAGGAGGTTAGAGGTTAGACTTGCTCAGTGACTGGAATTCTATGTAATTTGTTCTTAAGATCTACTTCTGGGGAAAAAAAGTCACATCACATCAAAAAGTTGTGGCTCATAACCGTCCTAAGTGTTTCTTCTTAGGAAGGCTAGGGCGTTTGGCCAAATGTATGTACACACTGTTAACGCTGGGTTTAAATTACATCAATATGTCGCTTAGTGCCAAAACCATTAGTCAGTTTTTTGGATTAGTCAATCAGAATTAATCAAAGCGAAAATACCAACATTCTCACCGGCTCCAGCTCCTCAAGCGGGGTTTTGCCATTCCCCCCCCCCCAATTCTATATGTTACTTGCCATCTAAATGTTCTTATAAAATCCCATGCATGTGTGCACTGTAGTGTCAAGATACAGAGACAGAGTTAAGCAACCTAAGCATATCAGCTTGAATGCACCATTGTTGTGTGTGCCAAGGATCAGATTATCATCGCCTCGACCAGCTGATGCGACACACAGGTAAGACAGTCTGCCTGACCTGTTTAGTTCTGGTCTCATTCCCACTAGGTTTCTTTTTTTTTTCTGACAAAAATCTAAAAGCATTTCACATGCTAAATATGGAAGTAGAAGAATCACGATTCAATCCACTGCCTGGGATTATTACAGTGCAGCATTTGAAGGTCATGTTTTGACCTCAAGCTTGTTTTAAGAGCTTTCCCACATTTCAACATTCAGACCTGGGGTCAGCTTTAATGCGGAAATCATGCTGGTATAAAGATGTATTATTTAATTTCTGGGCATGGTTTTAACACAGATAGTTGTACAAAAAAGGGAAACAAGCCCAGAGGGAATGCGGATACAAATCCCCTTGCATATTTGGACATGGCTGCAGAAGTACTTTTTAGAAGTGTATGAAAAACATTATGTAAGAAGGTCCTCTTGCATGAAATAATATGCACACCATTTTGGCTTTCTTTACAAGGAGGAAATTACCCTAAAAAACTTAAAGTAGTCTTTCTTAAAAAACACTTTCCGCAATTATTTCCTGAAGTACAAATACTGTTTTATGCAAATAGGAGTTATTATTTAACTTTCACTGCAGAAAAAAGGAGAAAGAAAGAACAATGTTTCAGTCCAGACACTTTTACCTATATTCAGATAATATTTCTGACAAAGAGCACAGCAAATCAGTTGAAGTGATAAAAGGTTACCATGGTCTCCGTGGCAGACAGCTCTGCCCATTGAGGAGAAAGCACCGACCCTGGTTCCCATTGTCCTTAATGACTAGCTGGAAACACCTGGGAGATCCAACCTTGCTGCTGAGAGGAGACATTGTTCACCCCCTGCCCTTTCATCCCCCCACCGCCTCCTCCCCTGTGGATTATGATGGATGCGATCTGAGACACCCCTGAGAGCAGTGACGGTGTGCTCAATGAGTAATAATCAGATCACCTCATAAACTGTATATTAATGCCGTTTTCATGGGGATTTTATTATCCATTATCAACTCGCACTGCTACATTCGCTTGAACATAGCAATTATATCTATTTTAAGGCAGAATTCATTTATGCCTGTCTCTTTTCTGCTCTACCTTATATTTCTTATTACTTTCATACACATCCGTCAAAACGGTCAACTTACATACATTGCTTATTTTCTGAAGATTTAAGCACCTTGTTAGGCCTGAGGTTCTCTTCCTGTTTGCCAGATAACTCAGCTGCAGAGCTTGTCCACCCTGACATGACTTGGCCTGCCCCGGTGACATCACATTACCATTCTGCTCGACTGGCATTTTATTTCGGGCATGACGCCCCATGGAACAGACTGACAGTGCGGCAACCGAAATCAAAGCAACTACCAACATCTGTGGTAAGTGTCTGAAGAGCAGAGTATGCCATCATCATCCATGCTTTGTTCTACTAATTACTCTGACTGGTGCAATGCTGTTCCTTGCTCCCTTGGAGAAATCATGGAGGACAAATGGGACAAGTTCTCCTTGGGAAGATTAGAGCTATTGAATTAGCGTTAATTCAAATCAAATGATGTGGCGAGCTGTAATTAAAAAGTAAAATAAATATATTGGAATGACTTTTCAAAGACATTAAGGCCACTTTCTGTAGCTACTCTGAAAATCTCCAGACAGCTGCAATGGTTAAGATTAAATATACATTTAAAACCGTGAACAAATTATAATATATAAATACTAGAAAAGGATAGAAGTCAGAAAAGGCCAAACTCCACTGCTAAAAATTGGGGCATCAAATCAATCCCAAGGAAAATTAAATGAACTGCAGCATTATAGACACTCATTAAAACCTTTACAGAATACATTCCTGGAAACCCTCCACTTGAATTTAGTTAATTGCAATCAACTTAACTGTGGCTACAATAATTTCAGTCATAGTTTTAGTAAATACCGCGCTAAACTGAAACCATGTGCTGGCCCAGGTTTTGCAGCCCTGACGGTGATTTGCGGTAAGCTTTGTAAGTATCTCCCTAAGTGTATGCTGAGCGTCATTTGGAGTTCTAGGTGGGTGGAGTTTACCGTACCTATTCACTGTAGTTATAGTAAATTATGTGCAGAAATATATAATAAACTGACATTTAAATACTT